TACTTATTAATTCATTAAAAAATAACAATAAACTAATTTAAAATTTTTGTAAGACAAAATATTTAATGATAAGAGTGGCTTGCTCTTTTTTCTTTTACATTTTTCTAAATCTCTTTAGAAGAGATAGAAGATAGTTGTGTTCATATATCTGCTCAGTAGAAGATAGTCATGTTCACATATCTGCTTCTGCACTCAAATCGTTGTATACAACGGATCACATAACCTTTGTAAAACTCCACTGAACACTCATCAAATTGTGAGAGTAAAAAAGACAATAATACCTTGCTGTTATTATTAAAGTAGACTGTGTCCTCCTCCTGAAATCCTCTGAAACCCTCCAGGTATTCTGAACCTATTTAAGAACTGCTGATCTAGTTAATAATCTGAGTTCTCTCTAATGTATTGCAGTAGTATCTTTTGGTATCCTATTGTCTATGCAGAGAACTTAAGTTTCATTTATCCTAAACCATTTATTATTAACATCTTTTCTTTTGCTTTTTATGCAAATATTTTCATGTACCAAAGTGGTAAAACAAAACATTACTTTTTTTCATTTGGTGGCTAGATATGCTAGTCTAATCTTACACATTGACAAAAAATTCTAAAACCAAAATTACTATGCCCAAGTCATTATGTTTTCAACTGAAATTATTGCAATATATATAATACGTAGCACATGTAAATTCAAAGTAGAAGTAGAAATTCAATCCTAAGAGCATCCTTTTCTGTTATTGATTCTGACGGGCTCCAAATGATAATAAAGAATAGTGACACAATTGTATTATCCATATACCTTACCAGCCTAGCCCATTAATTATAAAACTGTCTATTAATTTTAGAAATAACTAACAATCACTGAATGCTTACTGTGCTAATGCACCGTGCTAAGTACTTTATGTGCATTCTCTTATTTAATCCTCACAACAACTTTATGAGGTTAACTTATTGTTGTCTTTATTTATAGGCCAGAACTAAGATTAGTCGAAGTTATGTAGTATGCCCAAGTCATACAACTACTAATTAGCAGAGCTTAGATTCGAATACAGGTTCTCTTAGTCTAGAGCTTGTACTCTTAACAGTATTTTATTCTGCCTCCTGGTTATTTCAGTGCAGTTATAGTTGCTTGTATTTTTTTTTTTTACCTAAAATAGAAATATTCCAGTTTTAAAAATAACTTAATGCTGTGTTATTGTAGAATTGTCTGAATATATTAAAGTAAATTATTTATATACTACTATTTCAAAAGGATTTGAGGCAACTACATGTAATACAGGTATGTGTGTGTATGTGTGTTATCTATAGATAAAGAATTAGCAAGAGAATAAATATAGTCAAATAGTAAGGTGAAGCCAAGCAAAACAATTTCCTGAAAATGTGCATAAAGTCTTGACCAGTTATTAAAGGTGGGTGACAAATTGATCTTTGAACTTCTTGGCAGCCAGCCAGGTAGAGAAGCAATCATTTATAAATTCATATTGTCCATAAATTTTTAAAATAAAATTAAATACATTATTTAAGAAAACTAAAAACATGAGAGGCCGTTTTAATTACATATCTGGTGGTTTTCAAGTAACATACACTTATAAGTGGGGTGGTGGAATGAGAATAGCAAAACTCTAAAGGAAGAGATCTTCATTAACAGCACATAGCTATTACTACTTTAGTAGGACTTAGTTGACCAGGAGGCCGAGGCAGGTGGATCATTTGAGCTCAGGAATTTGAGACCAGCCTGAGCAAGAGTGAGACCCTTTCTCTACTAAAAAAAAAAAAAAAAAAAAAAACTCATCTTGCGTAGCCATGCAGTGGTAATAAAAAAAATTAAAAAATTAAAAAACAAAACAAAACAAAAAAAACAATTTATCCTAGCCAGTTCACTTTTAAAACTTTTCAACTTTGTTGTTCTTTTCTAATAATTTACATGGAATAGTGTTTTTAAGTCAACTAAGGTCCTACTAAAGTAGTAATAGCTATGTGCTTGTTAATGAAGACTCCTCTTCCTTTAGAGTTTTGCTATTCTCATTCCACCACCCCACTTATAAGTGTATGTTACTTGAAAACCACCAGATATGTAATTAAAACGGCCTCTCATGTTTTTAGTTTTTCTTAAATAATGTATTTAATTTTATTTTAAAATTTTATGGACAATATGAAATTTATAAATGATTGCTTCTCTACCTGGCTGGCTGCCAAGAAGTTCAAAGATCAATTTGTCACCTACCTTTAATAACTGGTCAAGACTTTATGCACATTTTCAGGAAATTGTTTTGCTTGGCTTCACCTTACTATTTGACTATATTTATTTCTCTTGCTAATTTCTTTATCTATAGATACACACATACACACACATACCTGTATTACATGTAGTTGCCTCAAATCCTTTTTGAAATAGTAGTATATAAATAATTTACTTTAAATATATTTCAGACAATTCTACAATAACACAGCATTAAGTTATTTTTAAAAACTGGAATATTTTCTATTTTAGGTAAAAAAAAAAAAAATACAAGCAAACTATAACTGCACTGAAATAACCAGGAGGCAGAATAAAATACTGGTTAAGAGTACAAGCTCTAGACTAAGAGAACCTGTATTCGAATCTAAGCTCTGCTAATTAGTAGTTGTATGACTTGGGGCATACTACATAACTTCGACTAATCTTAGTTTCTGGCCTATTAAATAAAGACAACAATAAGTTAACCTCATAAAGTTGTTGTGAGGATTAAATAAGAGAATGCACATAAAGTACTTAGCACGGTGCATTAGCACAGTAAGCATTCAGTGATTGTTAGTTATTTCTAAAATTTAATAGACAGTTTTATAATTTAATGGGCTAGGCTGGTAAGGTATATGGATAATACAATTGTGTCACTATTCTTTATTATCATTTGGAGCCCGTCAGAATCAATAACAGAAAAGGATGCTCTTAGGATTGAATTTCTACTTCTACTTTGAATTTACATGTGCTACGTATTATAGTATATTGCAATAATTTCAGTTGAAAACATAATGATCTTGGGCATAGTAATTTTGGTTTTAAGAATTTTTTTGTCAATGTGTAAGAATTAGACTAGCATATCTAGCCACCAAAATGAAAAAAAGTAATGTTTTGTTTTACCACTTTTGGTACATGAAAATATTTGCATAACAAAGCAAAAGAAAAAAGATGTTAATAATAAATGGTTTAGGATAAATGAAACTTAAGTTCTCTGCATAGACAATAGGATACCAAAAGATACTACTGCAATACATTAGAGAGAACTCAGATTATTAACTAGATCAGCAGTTCTTAAATATGGTTCAGAATACCTGGAGGGTTTCAGAGGATTTCAGGAGGAGGACACAGTCTACTTTAATAATAACAGCAAGGTATTATTTGTCTTTTTTACTCTCACAATTTGATGAGTGTTCAGTGGAGTTTTACAAAGGTTATGTGATCCGTTGTATCACAACGATTTGAGTGCAGAAGCAGATATGTGAACATGACTATCTTCTACTGAGCAGATATATGAACACAACTATCTTCTATCTCTTCTAAAGAGATTTAGAAAAATGTAAAAGAAAAAAAGAGCAAGCCACTCTTATCATTAAATATTTTTGTCTTACAAAAATTTTAACATATGAGTTTATTGTTATTTTTTAATGAATTAATAAGTAAAATTTTAAAAGAGTTTTCAAATATAGTAAATGTCAACAGATATAGCCCACATTAGCAAAAGCTCTTTAGGGTCTTCAATAAATTTTAAGAATACAAAGTTAAAGAACCACTGAAAAGTTAAAGAACCACTCAAATCGATTTTGAATTTAAAAAGAAAAAAAAAAAGAATAAACCAATCTAAATACATTAGGTTTCAAAATCTTAACAGATACCAATAAAATTGCTTCTCAAACCAAATGTTTAAAAAAGTAAAAACAATAACTTAAAAATTGGCAAAATTTATCTTGAATATCTCTCATACATAATAATAATCTAAGTATTAAGTAAAGTTAATAGAAACCAATGACTAAAAAAGATTGAGGCTGGGCGAGGTAGCTCCCGCTTGTAACCCTAGCACTCCAGGAGGCCGAGGCAGGTGGATCATTTGAGCTCAGGAATTTGAGACCAGCCTGAGCAAGAGTGAGACCCTTTCTCTACTAAAAAAAAAAAATAGAAAGAAATTATGTGAACAACTAAAAATATATAGAAAAAATTAGCTGGGCATGGAGGCACATGCCTGTAGTCCCATCTACTTGGGAGGCTGAGGCAGGAGGATCACCTGAGCCCAGGAGTTTGAGGTTGCTGTGAGCTAGGCTGATGCCATGGCACTCTAGCCCAGGCAACACAGTGAGACTCTGTCTCACAAAAAAAAAAAAAAAAAAAAAAAAAGAAAAAGAAATTAGCTAGACAATTAAAACTATACAGAAAAAATAAAAATAAAAAAGACTGAAAAAACTACTACAAAATTTTAAGAGATGAGAGATAATGAAGGTTTTCCTGCTCTTTTTGTAATTTTCTGCATTCTCTTAACTCAGCCTTTATTGCTTGTACAAGTAGAAATGTGTTTAAACATTAAATTGAGGTACAAAATAAACTAAGATGAATTTAAACAGGTTTTATGTGAGACGAGGTTAGATTCAATTTTCCTTTCAGACAATGTGTAGCTGAGGGTCAAACACCTCCATCCCTTAGAAAATGTTACTATATTAATAATATGAAGTATTCTCTGAATGTGACTCAGTAAAACAGTATTCTAATGACCCTAAAAGATTAGGGTTTCCAACTGCTTTGAACTTGGCAAATTGCAACATTTAACATCACAGTATTATACAAATCAAAATCCTCAGATATTAGAAAATAAAACTATTAGCTGTATGTTCTTCAAGTGATGTACAATTAACATAAATGGGATATTTAAACTCAATTATCTCTAGATATTATGAAATGGTGACTGTGAATGATCCATACAGTTAAAATTGAACTAGTAACAGTAACAAATATTAATTTTTTAAAAATTTGTGCTTACCTACTATACTCTTTTCTGGAGCTGGTGGCACAATATAACCAACATGTAAATACTTGCTCGCTAACTTGCTGTGCAAACCAAGAAAGTCACTGAATCTTCTTTTCACTGAAAATTCACTCTTACTGAACATGGAAAGAGAAGTCTACAAGTGAAGAAGAGGTACTTGAAATTTTGAACATTAGAAGTTAATGTTATACATAATTGTGAACACACAGATGTTACCTACTTTACAAAAGAATGCCAAGTAACTAACATGGTATGTAGATTTCTAAATCATAGATGTTTTTTACAGAACCTAAGAGGACAGAAAATAATTGTTTTATTCTATCCTTGACTCATCTCATCCACTCTACTTTATGCTAATAATTTTTAAATCTTTACTTCTGGCCTAGATCTCCTTTTGAGCTTCAGTCCAATATATCCAAATGCCCAAGAAACACCCCCACTTAATCTCTTGGGCTCTTCAAATTCATCATATTTTCCCCTGCTGGAACATAAGTTGTCTGATTGTTTACTACTATATCTCAGTGCTTGCAACAGAGCCTGACCCCACAGTAGGTATTTAATAAATATTTGTCCAATGAATTAACAAATCCCACCCCATCCTCACTGTGTTCCTCCCCATGTTGCCTTTCTCCATTGTAACACTTCCTCAACTACTAAGTTCCTTTAGTCAGTAACTTAAGCATCCTTCTCCTTCCTCACCCGTTACAACCAAGTCCTGTTGATTCTATCTCCTACATAACTCAAGAAGCCATTTATTTTGTTCATCTCCAGAACCACTTCTTTAGTGTAAAGTATTATTCTCACAGCTAGGATTGCTGCAATAGATTTTCTCTCTCTTTTAAAGTCTGAAGCCCTACAATCTTTTAATAATTGCAGTGGCCTTTTTCTATTTTTTCCTCGTTCTGTTGCCTGAAGTACAGTGGTGTCATCATAGCTCACTGCAACCTCAAATTCCCAAGTAGCTAGGATTACAGGCATGTGCCACCACGCCTGGCTAATTTTTGTATTTTTCGTAGAGACAGGGTCTTGCTACATAGCTCAGGCTGGTTTTAGACTCGAGGACTCAAGTGATCCTCCTGTCTCTGCCTCCCCGAAATGCTGGGATTACAGGCATGAGCCACTGTGCCCAGCCTTCAATGGCCTCTTAACTGGAAATCCTGAGCTCTTTTATCCTCCCTATTCATATTGAAGCCAAAGAGATCTTTCTAAAATAAGAATCTAATCGTGTTACATTCTTATTTGAATCTCTTTAATGGCTCTCCATCATACTTAGGATAAAGCTCAAACTCCTTAATGTGGCTGTTCATAATTCACAGAACCTTACTGCCAAGCAATTCAATCATGCATCAGTTCTTACCCATCCTAGAAAGCACAATGCTTCCTTGACTCTTGTCTTTTGCACAAGTAAATCCCTTTGCCTAGACAGGCATTCTTCTCCTCCTTCTCATCCTCCCCCATCACTTCACTCTCCTTTGTCATGGCTTAGATACTACTTTTCTCAGGAAGCCTTTCCTGACCTCTCAGGTTTAGATTAGGTCCCTTCCTGAACATTCTCACAGAACACGCTACTTTTAAGTATCAAACCACTCACAACTCATTTTAACTACCACCTGCAATCTTTAATAGATGGTAACCTTTATGAAGAAAAGAATTACTTCCACCTTAATCATTGTCATATCCTCATACCAGACATAGTAAATGCTCAATATTTTTTTAAAGGAGCAAAAGGCTCACCTTTGTTGTTACTCTATATGCCATGTAAGCATTCATGCCATCACCTATAAGAAATGTCAAACAATACTATTACAAATCACATGCTTAAAAATAAAACCCCATTTGTTGTGAATGGGTGGGTTAAAAATAAAACTAATTTTAATACTGTACTGATGTATTTAGTAAAGAAAAACACCATAGAGCTAAACTAATAAAAAAGGAGTACAAAATACAATAAATAGTGACTCACCAACTTTCTCTGGATCAGATACACCAATTTCTATATCAAAAATATCTCCATTTGCTTCTTCTTCAATCTAGAAAGTATATTTTTAATGTTAACAAAGATTCCAATTTATACTATTGTCATAACACTAAGAACTATAATTTTATCATTCTTCTATTAGAGTCACTGTCACAATGAATAATGTAAAAAGCCACTCAGCACGCCATTTCTGAAAAATAAAAGCTTTTACATTTCCTCACTATGTAAAAGAAAATACACAAAATAATAGGAAAAGATCACTTGGAGAAGACAGAAAATCTTATGTTCTTTTAACTCCTCAGATGTCTTTTGCATAAATATAAATACTATAGAATTTCTTTTGTTCTATATACTGAATCTTCAGACTCAGATTAAAATAATTATCTCCTTAATTTTAATAATAGCTCTTTTCAAAGTTGTATCTCTACTGTTTAATAACCAGGAGGTAGTCATTACTTTCACCAACAGAATCTTAAATACCAGCAGAAATGATGATACTTAAGAGTGACTTTACTATCTAATTACCTAATAAACACATGTTCTTCTTGAAGTCAATGAAAGAACTATAAAGCTCATGAAAATATCAAGTGGGAAAAATGATAATCCTATGAGACTACAGAGGAGCCCTTTTTAATGCCATTATAATAAGCAATTCAAATAGTAGCTCTGCAGGAAAGCCTTGTTATTCTTAAGGTCAGAGATTATTAAACTTTGCAAATTTTTCAAGGCAGAATTAATAGTCTAGATTATCTAAAAGTTTTTCTAATCACTATCTTTTTTTTAAGGTTGCCTTCTTGTACAGATTTTTTAAAGTAAATCTTTTTTGAATCATAACGTAAATACAGAAAAGTATGTAAATTATAAGTGTACAGCTGCACAAACTTTCAAAAAGTGAACACACCTTTGTAACCAAAACCTGGATCAGAAACATGAACCATCATTACAGCCTAGAAGGCCCTCTCATGCTTTCCCTCCAGTCACAACCATCCTTCACCCGCCAACACAATCACTATTCTACTTCTACCACTGCACATTGGTTTTCCCTGTTTTTAACATTCCTATATTAGAATCATATGTGGTAAGTATTCTTTTATATCTTGCTTCTTTCCCTTATTATATTTGTGAGATTATTCATGTTTTTATATGTGGTTGTTATTTAATCATAATCATTTTAACAATCTATTTCTATATAAATGAATTTAAAATATACAATTTTGCAATTAAGATAACCTCCATATCATTTTCTCCTTCCCAAATTCACTTTATCAGAAATTACTCCCAAGTCATGAGAGTATATCTTTAATTGCTATAAATTCCTTCCTTTAAAAAATAAAGGCAAGAGAACAATGTCTATGTATCAACAGTATTTATTACAAATTTCACTTCATTAAATAAAATTACTGAAAATACCACTTTGTTGTGATTAACAGTTTTTGAAGCACTTTTATACATCATCTTATCTGACCAACATAGGAACAATGACAAGCACAAATTATCATCCTAAGACCACAAATCACAAACTCCTTGGTTTAAGAAATGATATACCCAGGTCACTGGGTAGAGTGGTGGATATAAAATAAGTAGCTGGATCCCCTAACTTCTTTAGCCCAATGTTCTTTTCCCAAAATATCTGAAAGGCTTGATTAGGAATGATTAACAGAAAAGTGATATTGGATATGGAACTAAAGACATATATTTATGTATTAATTTAAAATACAAACATTTTCTTATACCTCTTCCCTGGATCTATCAAAGATTACAGGAGCAGACATACTCTTCGATTCAATTCTAGGAGCAATGAGTGCCGTAGGGGTGACAGGTGTGATTGCAGGAGAAGGTTCCGAGGATAGGATAGGTTCCCTTTCTGGGCTGTCCAAAGAAACTTCCTCTGTAGCTTCTAGATACAAATTAAACAAGTTAGTTAAGAATACCTGACAGGAAACCCCCAATATTCTCTATAGCAGTTAATGAATTATAAAAAATATTTGTATATTATTCACAAATACCAAAATAATATTTTATAATAATCATCACAAAAGAATTTAATGAATCCTTCCTTAGTTGTTTATTATAACTTTAAAACAGTTAATTTGTTGGTTTTAGGAAGAATCATATTAAGTCAGCTTAATTACCTATACTACTGGTAGGGATAAGGCTAGGAGAAAACATTCCACATTTGTGTTTGGATCTGTAATATATCTTATGCTTGTGGTAACTGAACTTTCAATATTTTATTCAAGCTAATATTATGATTTTATACATATGAAAACAAATCTTATGGTGGAAGGCTACCCAGAACTATTCTAACTGGAATTAAAAACTGGTTATGGAAAACCCACAAGTTAGTAATTCAAAGCAATTAACTGCCAAAGATTACTGGATACTATTAGATATGCAAATATGACACAGAGCAAATAGGTGTTGAGGCTTTAATTTAAAATGCACATTCACTTAAAAAAAATCTATGACTAAACACATTTAAAAAAATCAAACCAAATTAAAAAACTGAACATCTACAGGCTACATAACATTGTGCTAAGGGCAATGAAGAAATATAAAATATCATATGGGCCCTAAGGGAGTTTACAATCTAGTTGGGGAAAACAAGATTTTGTCTTTAATAAAAGACAAAACAGCCAAGAGAACAATAAAAAGAATGTTACAATGTTCCTAATTGCTATAGGAACTACAGAACAAACACTACAATTTGAGTTGAGACAGGAGACAATAACTTAGGGTTGTGGAAAATCAGGAGTAGTTTATGAAACTGATCTGAGAAGATTTAGACAGACAGAAAAAAGACCAGGGAAGAATTACATGAAAATGGAATAATAGCATAAGCAAAGGCAGAGCCAGGAAAGTGAAAATTACAATCGGTGGGCATAATGTAAATCACAGCTTTGCTGGTCTGTAGAATTGATAACAGAAAAGGGAAGGCAGGACCATAAGGGAAACACAGGATCAGACCAGTGGTTTCTAACCTGAGGTTCTTAGATTCCTAGAGGTTTGGGACAGTAGTAATGGTTTAATTTTAATACCCTAAAAGTACAGCAGTAATAGCATATTTACTTGAAATAACTTTTTTTTGTTTGAGACACAGTCTCACTTTTGTTGCCCGAGCTAGAGTGCCATGGCGACAGATTAGCTCACAGCAACCTCAAACTCCTGGGCTCAAGCGATCCTCCTGCCTCAGCCTCCCAAGTAGCTGGGACTACAGGCATGCACCACCATGCCCAGCTAATCTATTTATATATATACATATATAATATATATATACACACATATGTGTGCGTGTGTGTGTGTGTATATATATATGTATGTAAAATGTTTAGTTGGCCAATTAATTTCTTTCTATTTATAGTAGAGACAGGTCTCGCTCTTACTCAGGCTCGTTTTGAAATCCTGACCTTGAGCGATTCTCCCACCTCAGACTCCCAGAGTGCTAGGATTACAGGCGTGAGCCACCGCACCCGGCCTGAAGTAACATTTTATTAAGCGATTCTTACTGGTTATCTCATGTTGATGAGATCTTTACTTGGCATAGATCTCCTTATATTTTTATATTAAAAGTAGAAACTATAAATAATTAAAATCTTTCAAACTATGGTAATGAGGAAGGAAAATGGATTATAGGTATTGAAATAGATTATAGATGACCATAACATAAAAAAACAAAAGCTTATATGCAACTCAGGCTGTGAAGATTGCTGGTATTTATAATCCTTTTTTTAAAGAAATGAAACCAGTAAGCAACATAAAAAAATAAAAAAGCAGTGTTATCAAAGCTAGCAGCAATTAACTGCCAATAAGCAAACACCAAACAAGCAGCAAACAAAACAAAAAAATTACCAAGTATCTGTGAAAGAGGCACTGTTATTGGCAACAGATTTACAGACAAAAACATTGTAAAAGAGATAGTAATGTTATTGGAAATCAGTACAGATAAAGTCATTTTAACTTTTTAAAAATATTTCTTTAGAGATAGGGTCTCACTCTGTCACCTGGGCTGGAGTGCAAGGTACCATGATCCTTGTTCACTGCAGCTTCAATCTCAGAGGCTCAAGTGATCCTTCTGCCTCAGCCTCCCAAGTAGCTGGGATTAGAAGCATGAGCCACCAGTCCCAGCTAAATTTGTTTTTTTGTTGTTGTTGTTGAAGCAAGAGTCTTTTTGTTATTTTGAACTCCTGGGCTCAAGCTATACTTCCTTTCTGGCCTCCCAAAGTGCCAGGATTATAGGTGTGAGCCACCATGCCCCACTCACTTTAACTTTTCCATCACATTTTACTTCATTGACACCAGGTTTTGTGTTCTTTACACTGAGTAACAGGCTGCTTCACAAATGGGAGGATTTATTTATTTATTTACTAACAGTAAATAGTCTGCCTTAAACTCTTTGCATGACTCTTTAGCTTAAGTAAACTAACATTATAGATTCACAAGTTTTAATTTAAACCAGACCTAAAAGGTTCAGGAAGATGCCCCATAGGTACTAACTATAAAGATTAACTTTTCCTTGGAGACATACTTTGGGACAAGTATAAATGGATTATGTCATTATAAGCTAAATAATACTTCACTTATTTGATAGATACCACAGATTTTTTTAAACAAAGGAATAATACTCACTAAACTTACAACTGGCATAATCTGCTGAATAGCATAAGTAAAATAAGCCAGGTACTCTGGCAGAAACAAGGTCTAGGACAATCTCAGAATTGGTAATTTGCTCATACTTACCTTCCTCTAGGACAGTTTCCTGAGGCATGTTCAGTGAAGCATTAGTGTCAGATATAACAAATTATGGAGGAGTTCTATAGTTAACTATTAATATATTAACATTTGGTGAACACTTTATGTAAGCTAATAACTGCAATATATGCCACAGTTGAATTTTTTTCTGGTATCACTTCTGACATACGCTATTTGAAATGCTACCAAAAACATATAAGCACATGTACCAATATAGTATAACCTCCTTATGGTTTTAAAGTCAAAATGGCTGGGTCACTAGAGTAATATCTATGTTCTATCCTCTGGTATAGGAGAAACAAATCAAGTACACATTCTCATTACTGGACAAGAGTTTTCACCATGCTAGTAACATACACTATGGTTTCCCAGAACTACACTCCTCCACAGAAGGAGAGATAATATATCTGCTTAAACGTATTATAAATAAGAACCAAGTGTAGTATTAATTCATTCATATAAGAATAATCAGATGTCTTAAATCATCTAATGATGTCATTATAAAATACAGCTGAGTTTAGGATAAAAGATAAAGCCTAGAAAGTATTTACTGCTGGGTGCTGTGGCTCACTTCTGTAATCCTAGCACTTTAGGAGGCCTAGATGGGGCAACTGCCTGAGGCCAGGATTTCCAGACCAGCCTGAGCAACACAGCATGACCTGTCTCTACCAAAAATAAAAAATAAAAATTAGCCAGGTGTGGTGGTGCAGGCCAGTAGTCCCAATTACTTAGAGGCTGAAGCAGGAAGACCTTAGTCCCAATTACTTAGTCCCAATTACCCTTAGAGGCTGAGGCAGGAGGACCACTTGAGCCCAAGAGTTTGAGACTGCAATGAGCTAAGATAACACCAGTGTACTCTAGCCCAGGCAACAGAGGGAGACCCTGTCAAAAAATAAAAAAGTGTTTATATTTGGAGGTTAACAAAGCAAACAGATGACTATGTTTATTGTTCTTTAGTCCCCATCTCTCTCTTTTTTTTAAAACAAAAGCTGACATTGACCATATTTGAATCACAGAATTTAGCATAGGCTACTATGTAGACTAAAACACTATAAAGGTTTTTTATTTGAACTAAGTGGGCAAATACCATTGTATAGTCCTCACTTGGCTAACTGTCTCATCAGCTATGCATACTGTAAAAAAAACCTTTCCTTGCACACACACACACACACACACACACACACACAGTTCTGTTGTTAGAGTAAGGTTTCAGCACACTCCTTTATATACCGTGTTTTCCCAAAAATAAGACAGGGTCTTATATTTATTTTTCCTCAGAAGACACTCTAGGGCTTATTTTCAGGATGTGTTATTTTCCCCTCAAAACCTCAGCTTGCAGCACGCACAGGATGGCTGGGACCTGACGGGGGAGCCCACCTTGTTGGTGGGGCTGCCCGCACCTTTCCAGTCACCTCTGGGATAGCAGCTGTCACAATGGGGCAGATGAGAAAGGCTGCTCATCTTCTTTACCATCAACGACGAAATGCATGAGTTGTGCAGATACGCTGCTGTGTAGCCACGCTGCTGTGTAGCCACGCCCATCACTAAGTCTTATTTCCAGGGTAGGGCTTATATTGCGCAAATGCTTAGAAATCCTGCTAGGGCTTACTTTATGAGTAGATCTTATTTTCGGGAAAACATGGTAGAATTCTGAGACTATAAGGTGAAAGAGTCTTTAATAAAACAGATAATCCAAAACCTCTATGAATGATCCTATACTGCTGGAGGAATACACACAATTTTAGATTAGTACTTGCTTAGTAGAGAAAGGTCTTATGTCATCTTTTAGCTTCAAACACAAATGCCCTGAAAGAACTTTCATGGACTGCCTGGAAAAAAGTCCAAGAAAGGCAACAAAAAGGAATACTGGAATATTGTAACTTGGGTTTTACTGTGATTTTGACTTTGTTAGTGGCCAAAAAAAAAAAAAAAAGCCCCAACCCCAAAATCTCCCCACATGATTGGTATTTTAGTATTTGGTATCACACTTAAATTTTCTGACATGATAAAATACATGAATTCATCTGTGGCGAAAACTTTTCATGGAGCTAAGCAAGTTGGAAATGATACGGACTTTTGGAGGGAGGGTTGGAGGATTGTTATCTTCAAACATATTTTTTAAAAAAATACAGATTGGTCTGAATACTGAACCATATGAAAGTTGAGGACATAGCATTAAATATTTTTCTATTGTTTTTCCTTTTTCAGGTCAGATGGGTTATGCGCCAACATTGTAACAAGGTTTGAGGGAGGCACATCTCACATTTTAGTGTGAAAAACCAGTCATCACGGTTATGAATCACAAAAGGACCCAATCATATTATTAAATTTTAACTCAAAGCCACATCAGGTACATTAAGCTGTTAAACAAATGAAAATTGACTATTTTAATTTTTTGTATCATCAAAAGCATGGAAGATTTTGATTTTTAGTATTAAAAAATTAATCTGTACCTTATGTAATCTTAAAGCAGATACTTGTTCGAGTCTAATTGTTTTAAAGTTAAGAGGGACTACACCAAATCCTGCCCTCATATCAAAAATACATTTCTCAAGCATCAATTTACTCACCTAAAAGCGAATCAAAATGGAAAAGGTGGTGCAGCAATTTATTAAAACAAACTTCAAACATAAATGGAATAGAAATAGATTCTTAAACCCATAGCTTAATTTTGCTTTGTGACAACTTGTATGTAATAAAAAATACAATCACTGCTATTTCTCAAAGTATGAATGCCACAACCATTAGCATTTAAGTGTAAGTACTGACCCAAACAACCCAATTATGACATGGAATTTATTTTGAAATGCTTAAAACCAGAAAGGACCACATTTTTGCTTCTCTCAATAGTCTATATTTTTCATAGAATGATCTAATTGGGAATTCCCTATGCTTCTAAGTTTTTACAAGAGGAGCTATTACTAACACTTTACACAGAATTTCAGTTTGTTTTAGTGAATATTTTCTATCTAACAGAATATATACTACTATTGGTCATTATTTAAAAATAAAGATACAACAATTACCTGCAAAAAGATCTTCTCTGTCATCATCTAGCACTACTTCTGCAGGTTTTGGGCCATTGGAGTTTGCACTAATATCTTCTGCAGGAAGACTAGCTGGTTCTGGAGATGATGGACTTGACTGTTAAAAAGAACAACAGGTAATAGATTGGCATGCTTATCTGTTGTAATTTCTCTTCATAAGAAGGGAGGAAAGAACAAGAACAGCTATTTATATTTCCTCCTCTCGGGGTAACAACAAACCAAAAACACACTTTGCTTATCTTCTCCTTTCTTAACAAAAAGTCACTTAAGATTTAATAAACAAAGCCTTTTCTAGTCATTCTTTTAGGGATAACTAGTTTATCATGTTGAGTTATAATTAACAAAAACCACATTTAATGCTTTACATAGTCATATACAATAAGACCAATATCAGATTAAGTCCTTGAGTTGTAAGAATCAATGCTTTTGTTTTTGTTATTGCCATGTCCCCCCTCCTGCGCCGCACCCACCCCACCCGTCGTGGGGGCAGATGTAACCAAACATCAAAATTCCATGCAACTCAACAGATCTTGAAAACATGTTGTATATGCAAGAAGTTGAAAGCATTGGCTATAAGAACAAGGCTTACTACTAGTTGAATTAACACTACAATTATTCTAAAATTTCTATAGTTTCAAACTAAAAATATGCCTTCTTTTAAAACATTTACATTTCAACTAAGCTAAGGACTAGTTTTGTACTTCTAAACCTGAAAGTATAATGACCAATATAATGGAAACTAGGCTGTGTAGCTTTTAGTTTTATTATAGTTTTTTTAGTAATAGTTAATACCAAGACTTAGGGAAAAAACCTTAGTGAACCATAAGACACACACACACACACACACACACACACACACACACACACACACTTATATATCTCAAAGTGTAGCTAGATATTTTCAAAAACTCAACATACTGTTAAACCAGCACCCTCTAGAAGCTCCACTCCATGTTCCCTCCCATTCTTTACCATGTAGGCTTCTACCAGCATAGTTTAGTTTTTCCTGGTTTTGCTTTTCATAAAAATGGAATATTAAGTATATATTCTCTTGGCTGGGTGCAGTGGCGCATGCCTGTAGTCTCAGCTACTTGGGAGGCTGAGGCAGGAGGACTGCTTGAGCCCAGGAGTTTGAGGTTGCTGTGAGCTAGGCTGACGCCATGGCAGTCTAGCCCGGACAACAGAATGAGAGACTATCTCAAAAACAAAACAAAAATATAAATTTTTGCCTATAAGCAAAGATTTAAAAACATTTAATATTCAATTTTAGTAAGTTTATTGAGACTGCCAACTTGGATACTACTGACAAATGTGTAAATCAGTTCCATTTTTCTGAAAAGCCAAAAAGCACTAGAGTCTTTAAAATTTCTGCTGTGGATCTAGTCTTAGGAAATAGAGATACAGACCAAAAGGTAGGAATAAGGACATTTATTGTATATGCTAAAAATACCCATTTATTTAATGAGAGAATAGATTAAAAATAAATTCTATTAAAACTCTGAAGCTCTTATTCGAGGGGGGAGGGGGGCATGGGCAATATAAGTAACCTTAACACTTATACCCCCATAATACGCTAAAATAAAATTAAAAAAAATAAAAATAAAAAAATAATTAAAAGATCATGAAAAAAAAACTCATGAGGAAACATTATACAGACATTTAAAAATAGCATTGTTGCCAACACCACTTAACAATATGGGAAAATATTCTTTAAAGGTAAATGGAAAAAAGTACCATATAGTATACAGTGGATCCTTAAGCAACACAGGTGTGAACTGTGTGGGTCCACTTACGTGAGAGAGAGAGAGAGAAAGAAAATAGTCTGTTTATTTTGGGTTTCTAAAAGTTGTCAGGCCCTAAGGAAGGCTATCTTTGGAGTTCAAGTCAGAGCATAACCTCTTAATTACTGACCTGGTGTTATAGATTAATCTCCTTCCTTATTTTCTTGTTCCTGGCTCAGACCAGATGGTGCCTAAGATAAAAGACCTCTTGACTTTAATGCGGAATGTTAAATATGCCCCTCCCCAAAAAGAAACTTTCCCTTTAACCTATCAAATTGCTGTAACTATGCACTAACCTTGTATGGAAAATGTTGAAATCTTGTTGAACTTTCCCAGATCTTGCCTATATAAATGACCCTCAAACCTCTCCACTTCAGGGCACTGATTCCATCTTTTTGGAGTTTGTATCCTCCCATGTGGCCATGCTCAAACTCTGCACTCAAATAAACTCAATACTTAATAATATTGCCTGAGTCTTTTTATTAAGGTTGATATTTTCAACCAAATGCAGATCAAAATTACAGTAGTCAGGTGGGTAACCTGCATTATATAGAAATTCAACTTTTTACATATGTGGGTTTGTAGGGCCCACTGAGGGATGTAAGTATGCACTGACTGCATGGATTCTGGTATTTGTGCGTGGTCCTGGAACCAATACTCCCAACCCCCATAGAGGGATGAGGGACAATTATATACTAAATTCATTCCCTATTTGACACAAAAAAGTATGCTACAATAAAAAGAGAGGAAAATTGTATAATAGTGATCATCTCTATGTGGTTCAACGCGGTGATTTTAATTTTTTTTCTTTCTACCTTTATTTTCTAAGAGTTGAAGTAAAGAATTATGAGGGGCTAGATGATGAAGGGTCTTGTAAAGCATACTAAAGATTTTAGACTTTACTGTGAAAACAATGAGGAGGTACAGAAGGCTTTTAAGGGAGAAAATTATGCTGGATTTTAAAAGAACATTCTAGAAGCAGCACTGAGATTAGACTGGAAGCTAGCAAATGTGTGGGAATTAAAATAGATTAGCTTGGCCGGGCGCGGTGGCTCACGCCTGCAATCCTAGCACTCTGGAAGGCCGAGGTGGGAGGTCAGGAGTTCAAAACCAGCCTGAGCAAGAGCAAGACCCCGTCTCTACTATAAATAGAAAGAAATTAATTGGACAACTAATATACAGAAAAAATTAGCCAGGCATGGTGGTGCATGCCTGTAGTCCCAGCTACTCGGGAGGCTGAGGCAGCAGGATTGCTTGAGCCCAGGAATTTGAGGTTGCTGTGAGCTAGGGTTACGCCACAGTACTCACTCTAGCCTGGACAACAAAGCAAGACTCTGTCTCAAGAAAATAAAAATTAAAAAATAAATAAAACAGATTAGCAAACTATTACTCTAGGTAAACTGTGAAGGAGCTACTAGTAGTCGGAATGGAGTCAAAAGCTATTAATTAAAGAGCATCACAAATATATTAAAATTAAAGGAAATCCAAGAATCTGCACTTCACTTACAACAAAGATGAGCTACAGTAAGGCTGAACAAACCACTGAGTTTACATCAATTCTGAACAAATCAAGTTTAGTTTTCTTCTTTGTGAGTACATTAAACAATCCCTGGGGTTCAACTCTTATCTCTACCTTTTACAACAACCTGATTCCAAGTAGCCATTCCCTTCTGACTATCACATTCTCATGTTAAAGAAAAAGCACATTTGCTGTTTTACATCATGAGTTTGAAAGGAAAAAAAGTTAAAAGCACAAATTCCAAGAACATGAAATTATGGGTATTGATTTCAATTACGGATATAAAAAGTAGATACTATATTTAATCAGCATTAATATTCCATATTATTATGTCAAATCTGCTGGAAAGATAATGTGACCTTTCAATTGCTCATTTGGAAACTTTTTTTTTTTTTTGAAACACAGTCTCACTCTGTTGCCCTGGATAGAGTGCAATGGCATCATCATAATTCGCTGCAACCTCAAACTCCTGGGCTCAACCGATCGTCCTGCCTCAGCCTCCCGTAGCTAGGACTATAGGCATGCACCATGGAGCCTGGCAATTTTTCTATTTTTAGTAGAGACAGGGTCTTGCTCTTGGCTCAGGCTGGTCTTGAACTCCTGAATTCAAGCAATCTCCCACCTCGGCTTCCCAGAGGGCTAGGATTACAGCTGTGAGCCACTTTACCTGGCATCATTTGCAAATGATGGCTTCCATCTTGGGTAGTCCTGCTTGCCCTTTCTGACAACCCAGTCTGGGAGAAATAGGTTGCCAGATGCTGAGCAGTCTATAGAGAGGCCTAGATGGAAAGGACCTGAAGGTTCCCCTCAATAGCCACGTGAGTGAGCTTAGAAGTGGATCTTCCCCAGCCTTCAGATCATGCAGACCTGCCTGAAATCTTGACTATAATCATATGAGGAACCTTCCACCAGAATACACAGATAAGCTGCTCCTGGATCCTCCCCGCCTCCGCCAGGGTGGCCCCCCTCCCCCAACTCTTAAAATGTGAGATATGCCTATTGTCTTAAGTTGCTAAGTTTTGGAGCAATTTGTTACACAGAAACAGATAACTAATACATGTGGTAATTCCACTAGAGTCTTTCCCTCTGGTTATAGCTAAAACCTACGAATAAAATACAAAAATCACTAAGAAATCTGAAAAGCAAACAAATTCAAACAGACTGTAAAAGGCAGTGAGTCTCTCTTTTTTTCCTCTTTTCTCTAATATTTTGTCCTAAAAGCAGGCCCCAGTCATAGACCTGCCCAATGGTATAGTGGCACAGGCAGCTAAAAACTCTGATAGAAATCTCATCTTTATGGCCGGATGACTCGGACAAAGGTGTCATGTGAGCTGAACAGTATGTGTATATGAATAAATTCCTGTTTTTCCCCTTCTTTTCTCTTGTGGATTTGCTAAGAGCAAGCACCAGGCATGGAGCTGCACTACAGGAGCAACAGCACAGGTAGATAAAACTCCAAAATAAACCCAATCTTTCTGGCCACAGGATCTCAGAAAAGGGGGTCCGTGTTCACAGCAACCTCAAACTCCTGGGCTCAAGCAATCCTTCTGCCTCAGCCTCTCAAGTAGCTGGGACTACAGGCATGGGCCACCATGCCTGGCTAATTGTTTCTATATATTTTTCTATATATCTCTGAAGAATATGAGGGAAATCCCAGAAGAAAAAACTATGAGAAGGGGATTTCCTAATTCTGTGACTGAATGTGTGCAAGTCTCAAGCTCAACTCTAAGCACCATATGTGCAGAATAGGCCCAAACAGCATAGCAATTCTCAAAGACTTTTGAGAACTGAACTGAT